GAAGAAGAAGAAGAAGAAGAATATGAAGAAGGCGACGACGAAGAAGAAGAAGAAGAAGAAGAAGAATATGAAGAAGGCGACGACGAAGAAGAAGAATATGAAAAAGGCGACGACGAAGAAGAAGAAGAAGAAGAAGAATATAAAGAAGCGACGACGACGAAGAAGAAGAAGAAGATGAAGAAGGCGACGACGAAGATGAAGAAGAAGAAGAAGAAGAAGAATATGAAGAAGGCGACGACGAAGAAGAAGAAGAAGAAGAAGAATATGAAGAAGGCGACGACGAAGAAGAAGAAGAATATGAAGAAGGCGACGACGAAGAAGAAGAAGAAGAAGAATATGAAGAAGGCGACGACGAAGAAGAAGAAGAAGAAGAAGAAGAAGCGACGACGAAGATGAATGAAGAAGAAGAATATGAAGAAGGCGACGACGAAGAAGATGATGAAGAAGCGACGAAGAAGAAAGAATATGAAGAAGGCGACGACGATGAAGAAGGCGACGAAGAAGAAGAAGAAGAAGAATATGAAGAAGGCGACGACGAAATGAAAAAGGCGACGACGAAGAAGAAGAAGAAGAATGAAGAAGGACGACGAAGATGAAGAAGAAGAAGAAGAAGAAGAATATGAAGAAGGCGACGACGAAGAAGAAGAAGAAGAAGAAGAATATGAAGAAGGCGACGACGAAGATGAAGAAGAAGAAGAAGAAGAACGACGAAGAAGGCGAACGAAGAATATGAAGAGCGACGACGAAGATGAAGAAGAAGAAGAATATGAAGAAGGCGACGACGAAGAAGTAGAAGAAGAAGAATATGAAGAAGGCGACGACGAAGATGAAGAAGAAGAAGAAAAATATGAAGAAGGCGACGACGAAGAAGAAGAAGAAGAAAGAAGAAGGCGAAGAAGAAGCGACGAAGAAGGCGATGACGAAGAAGAAGAAGAAGAATATGAAGAAGACGACGACGAAGAAGAAGAAGAATAATATGAAGAAGGCGACGACGAAGAAGAAGAAGAAAGAAGAAGGCGACGACGAAGACGAAGAAGATGAAGAAGACGACGACGAAGAAGAAGAAGAATAATATGAAGAAGGCGACGACGAAGATGAAGAAGAAGAAGAAGAAGAATATGAAGAAGGCGACGACGAAGAAGAAGAAGAAGAAGAAGAAGAACGAAGAAGAAGAAGAAGAAAGAAAAAGACCGACAAAGAAGAAGAAAAAGAAAAATGAAGAAGGCGACGACGAAGAAGAAACGAAGAAGAAGAAGAAGGATAAGAAAAGACCACAAAGACAAAAAAAACGACGACGACGACGAAAACGAAGAAGAAAGTGGAACGAAGAAACAAAAAGACGACGACGAAGAAGAAGAAGAAGAAGAAGAAGAAGAAGTTCGATTTTCGATCTGGGTGCTCCATACTTTCTGTTTGTGTGCACTGTAATGAAAAATTATACTTAAAATCAATAAGTAATAATCAAAAATTCTCGGACAAAATAATGAAGAAAGAAGGCCTGGGAAATCTGACACTCATAAGACGCACTGAAAGCACGAGGAACAGAACGAATTAACAAGAAACTTATCTAAAGAGCTTGTGCAAATCGATAGTAAGTCATGGATAGTTACAAAAAAAAATATCACTGCTAAGGGTGACAAAGGTCAGGGGTTTATAGAAGGGCATGATTGCCCACGTCTTGGAGAGACTAGGCGCACAGATTTAACTCTGGGTTAACTATGTCTCATCCACGCAACTAAACCTCGCTGTAAGCAACTATTAGATATCAGCTCTAACCCCTGAACTATGCACATCTGAAAATGCGAAGATATTTTTTTTCTCCATAATAAGCCAATCTATTTTCAAAGTTTTGTCACCCTGGGGGACACATGAAGACACAAACACACACGCATAGATACAGGCTTCAATTAAGCCACTTCTGATTCCTTGCTATAGACACACATTACCGCCTTTCTAAAAGAGAGAGAGAGAGAAAAAAAATTCGCTAATCGTAAAGAACGCGTGCGCGGATACACACTAACCTTTGTATACATATTACAAGAACGGGCTTATTTATACACTTCGCCTGGCCAGTAGTGTAAAGTTGATGAAAGGAATCCATACCAACATTTGTGGCTGGACGCTAAATACACACACACACAAATTATCTCCACATAAGACACGTGAAAATGTTCAGGTCAGTAAGATTTTGACAAACTTTCTTTTCTGTTGACAGACTTTAAGCTCCCACACGCTCGTAGAAAGAAAGAAAGAAAGAAAGAAAAGAAAGAAAGAAAGAAAGAAAGAAAGAAAAAGAAAAGGGAGAGAGGAAAGAAAGAAAGAAAGAAAGAAAAAGAAAGAAAGAAAGAAAGAAAGAAAGAAAGAAAGAAAAGGAGAGAGGAAAGAAAGAAAGAAAGAAAGAAAGAAAGAAAAAGAAGAAAGAAAGAAAAGCGAGAGTGAAAGAAAGAAAAAAGAAAGAAAGGAGGAAAAGAAAGAAAGAAAGAAAGAAAAAGGAAAGAAAGAAAAGAAAGAAAGAAAGAAAGAAAAAAGAAAGAAAGATAGGAAGGAAGGAAAAAAAGAAAAGAAAGAAAGAAAGAAAGAAAAGAAAGAAAGAAAGAAAGAAAAGAAAAGGGAAGGAAAGAAAAAAGAAAGAAAAAAGAAAAGAAAGAAAGAAAGAAAGAAAGAAAGAAAAAAGAAAAGAAAGAAAGAAAGAAAAGGAAAAAAAAGGAAAGAAAAAAGAAAGGAAAGAAAGAAAGAAAGGAAGGAAGGAAGGAAGGAAGGAAGGAAGGAAAAGAAAGAAAGAAAGAAAGAAAGAAATAGAGAAGGAAGAGATAGAAAGAAAAAAAGACAGAAAGAAAGAGAAAGAGTAAAAGAAAGCAAAAGAAAGAAAGAAAAAAATGAAAGAGAGAAAGAAAAAAGAGAGAGGAAGAGAGAGAGAGGGAGAGAAAGAGAGAGAATGAGTATATCGTGGTTGAGTTTATTAACGTAAGCAAAATAATACGTTTTATTATCCACCTTTTTTTGACAACCCAGGTGTGTTTAACGGCAATACCCTAAAAGTGTCAAATAAACTCCCTCTCCACTACTTAATTTGGGGATTTTTTCAATCCCCTCCCCCCGGGGCTTATTACGACCCCCACCACGCTGATTCATTTTTAACTATTCCTAGGCCCCCTACACAGCAGATTGATAGAAAGCGGAAAAAATGTTAAAGTATTTTGCAAAAAGTATTTATGGATTTTGTATAGATAGATATTTATTTTCAGTTTTAACTTCGAGGGCTTTTCTTAGTTTAAACGATTCATTTTTTTAATAATTTCTCATACCGCCCCAATTATTGACCCCACTGCCTCGATCGGTCTATCTTTCATCTTTTAATGATTGTTATCGATCTCATTGTTTACGAATATAAAATAAGAAATTAAAAGAGGGGCAATAACTCAGACACGTGTACCCATTAAAAATAACGTCTATTCATATATAATATATATATATATATATATATATATATATATATAATAATAATATATATATATATATATACCCTAATAATATATATATATATATATATATATATATATATATATATATATATATATATATCCTACTAATATATATATATATATATATATTTACTAATATTGGAAAGAAATTAAATTAAATTTCTAATAAAAAATGTTCATTCTCATACAACACATTTAGATAGATAGACAGATAGATATATACATAGATAGACAGATATATATAGATAGATAGACAGACAGATATAGATATATAGATATATTTTATATATATATATATATATATATATATAGAGAGAGAGAGAGAGATAGATAGATAGACGGATAGATATATATATATATATATATATATATATATATATATAGAGAGAGAGAGAGAGAGAGAGAGAGAGAGAGAGAGAGATAGATAGATAGATAGATAGATAGATAGATAGATGAATGAATATATATGTGCAGTGATAGATAGATAGATAGATAGATAGATAGATAGATAGATAGATAGATAGATAGATAGATAGATCGGTCACCTCGAAGTGGTGTAATGGTTAGCAAGCTTGTCTCGCTAGAACAATTACAAATGAGTAATGAGTCCAATCCTCACTGGGTGCCCCATAATTTCGGCCTTGTGCCACATCTGAGCTATGCTTGGAAACTCATGATAGCTAGATATTGAATTGATATAGGTATAAAGATGGATTGATAGACAGACAGATACCCTGTTTCATATTTTTATCACAATTTTATATACATATTGGCAAACCATGTGCTTCTAATTACAGAAAGTAAGCGTAAAGCTTGACGTCAATTTTATCAATGGAAAAAAAACTCTTATGTCCACACACCATGAAGCCATTTTATTTTAATATACATGTGTATAGGGGGTTCTATGTGTGCGTATGTATATATATTTAAACGATGACAATCAGCTCGAGACCTACAAATTATAGTTCTTATTTAAAGATAACAAAACACAAAGTGATTTCTTTTATCAAAAATTTAAACGCAGTGTCAATCGTTATCTTTTTTTTTTGCCTTTTTAATTCATGTTCTTTGATTGTCTTCTCTCTATAATTGCATTTTTTTTTCATTCTCTAACACTGAGTAACCCCTCTAGTCAAAGTGGCTTTATTGCCTTGTTTGTCGGGGTGGGGGGGAAGATTTAAAAAAAGAAAGCAAAAAAAAAAAAAAAATCATCCCTGACACATTTTAATGGAATTTTTTACACACCTGTTTTGTTTTTTTTTTCTCTTTCTTTTTTTAACGGGAGACATTTTTTTTCTTTCTGCCAACTAAATTTATTGACAATCTTCTCTCTGTTTTCTCATTTTATGTTATTTACTTTACTTATTCTTAGGTTGGCTAATTTATTTAAATGGTCTGCCTATTACTGACTGGCTTGTTACATTTTTTCTGACAAGTGTTAAGCAACACCGTTCGGCTTTTTATGCTCTACACAATGGGGCCCCAGACTGCAATAGTCCCACGTTGACGTATAGGCTAATGTGCCCAACGATAGGCCTCCAGTCAGAGGTGAATGTCAATCCTTAATTATGACGATGACGAATCATCATAATTCAAAAAATTAAAGGCATCACGTGACAACAAGTCTCCCTATCTCTTAGTTCTTTCTCGGTTTACTGATACTTACAGATTTTTGGCAAGGCCAAATACAAATTAGCTTCTATTTAATTTTCCATAATTTACTCAGCTCTCGGGCAAGCTTCTGGTAATATCCATCTATATTACCATTTATCTATCTATCTATCTATCTATCTATCTATCTATCTATCTATCTATCTATCTACATTACCATGTATATTACTATCTAACTATCTACATTACCATCTATATTACCATCTATCTAACTACATTACCATCTGTATTACTATCTATCTATGTACATTACCATCTATATTACCATCTATTTAACTATCTACATCGCTTCTATATTACCATCTATCAATCTATATTACCATCTATATTCCCATCTATCTATCTACATTACCATCTATATTACCATCTATTTAACTATCTACATTACCATCTGTATTACTATCTATCTCTCTACATTACCATCTATATTACCATCTATTTAACTATCTACATCGCTTCTATATTACCATCTATCAATCTATATTACCATCGATATCCCCATCTATCTAACTATCTACATTACCATCTATATTACCATCTATCTCTCTACATTACCATCTATATTACCATCTATCTATCTACCTACATTGTCCTCTATATTACCATCTATCAATCTATATTACCATCTATATTCCCATCTATCTATCTACATTACCATCTATATTACCATCTATCTAACTATCTACATTACCATCTATATTACCATCTATCTCTCTACATTACCATCTATATTACCATATATCTATCTACATTGCCCTCTATATTACCATCTATCAATCTATATTACCATCTATATTCCCATCTATCTAACTATCTACATTACCATCTATATTACCATCTATCTACATTACCATCTATATTACCATATATCTATCTACATTACCATCTATCTACATTACCATCTATATTACTATCTATCTACATTACCATCTATATTACCATCTATCTATCTACATTGCCTTCTATATTACCATCTATCTGTCTATATTACCATCTATATTCCCGTCTATCTAACTATCTACATTATCATCTATATTACCATATTATCATCTGACTATATTACCATCTGTCTATTTGTTGTGGCCTGTTAGAGGCGAGAAAGAAAGACACGGAAAGAATAAGGTAGGTTGAACGAGTGTATTGAAATAACAGAACATATGTACAAAATAAGAGTGTTATTAGTCAGCAGATAGAAGTGTCCGTTCAAACTGTCAGGTTACACTGCGTTCCAACAGCCCCCTTTAGGAAGTCTCGCAGGTTAGTATTTATGAAGGAGGAAGAGTTCATTCTAAGGTAGACTGGTCACCATAACACTATTACCAACTATATTATCATATTACATATACCTAAGCATTTATCTAACTATATTATCCATATATATCCCATTTATATAACCATCTAAGTATATTCCCAGCTATCTAGCCATCTAATTATCTATCTATATTCCCATCTACCTATCTATATATATTGCCATCTATCTATATATCTATCTATCTATATTACCGTCTAATTATCTGTTACCATCTATCTATCTATATTACCGTCTAATTATCTGTTACCATCTATCTATCTATATATATTGCCATCTATCTATATATCCATCTATCTATATTACCGTCTAATTATGTGTTGCCATCTATCTATCTATATTACCGTCTAATTATCTGTTACCATCTATCTATCTATATTACCATCTACCTATCTTTCTATCTATCTATATTACCATCTATCTATCTGTCTATATTACCATCTAATTATCTATCTATATTACCATCTATCTAACTTTGTATCTATCTATCTATCTATCTTGCCATCTACCTATCTTTCTATCTATCTATATTACCATCTATCTAACCATCTATCTATCTATCTATATTATCATCTAATTATCTATCTATATTACCATCTATCTATATTACCATCTATCTAACTTTCTATCTATCTATATTATTATATATCTATCTACATTACCATCTATATTACCATCTATCTTTCTATCTCTCTCTCTATATATATATATATATTTTATATATATATATATATATATATATATATATATATATATATATATTATTACGTTAAGAGGTAGTTTATATGAATAGGATGGGAAGATAACGGTTAACTCTAGACCTGAACAGATTAAAATTGTAGTGATCGGGGAAACATCCTCTTGGGTGTCTGTAGCACAGTTCAGCGGTTTGATGGTTTCCTTGTTCCGAAGATTAGACCTGGCAGAACCAAGAAATGTAGTTCGTCCGAGCACTTTCCATGTAAGGCTCACCACATCCCGCCCGTGTGAGAGAGGTTGAAGCTTGGAAAATAGTTCGTCACCCACAAAGACTAGCTTTTGAACTCTATCAAAAGACTTGAAATTTGTCCCAGAATAAGTATTAAAATGTCGGTGGACGAGGGAAAAACTAGTTTTAAATTAATAATAATGATAATGCTTTATTTAAGTAGCATAGAAGAATAATAATAGGCATAGGGGTCTCTGGAATAGAGGTAGTACCTTTGATGTCTGGAACACTACACCTTCGAATGGACCAGCATCTCTCATCTAAATCTCTTCAAGTTTCCATGTCTTCATCTAACGCAAGGAAAGTTGGCTCTCTGTACCGCGCCAGGAAATTTTTCTCGCTGGAGTCAATCCTTCAAATCTACAAATCAACCATTCGCCCTTGCATGACGTATTGCTACCATATATGGTCTGGCGCCCCTTCTATTTGTCTCAAGGTTCGTGATAAAATCCAAAGACGGATATGCAATATAATTGGCCCTGATCTGGCATCTCGTCTTCATTCGCTCTCTCACAGACGTGCCGTTGCCTCCCTCTGTCTTTTTTAACAAATACTTTCACGGTAACTGCTCCGATGAGCTGCTTTCGCTGGTTCCCAGACTTCATGAATTTAAGCGTTCAACGAGGCTGACATCTTGCTCTCATCCTTTCACTGTTGAAACTGTTAAATGTAGCCGTCTCTTCTACTCCAATAGCTTCATGTCTCGCACCTCTCGCCTGTGGAACTCCCTCCCCTTTTTCCTGTTTCCCCTGATAGTTATAATCTCCAACTATTCAAATGTAATGTCAATCGACATCTCCAGTTACCTTGATCTATCCGCTTTCCTTCGCTTCATCCTTTCCTCTATCACTCCTCTTTGCTTTCGCTCCAACTCTTTGTAACCCCTTGCGTGGTAGTGGCTTCTCGCTTTGCGTGGGGTGGAATGCTTAAAAAATGCCCCGGGAAACCGTTACGAGAATGGGTGGTGTTAACACGGGACCACCAGGTAAGAATGACTTCCACGACGCAGGTCACCGGCCGAGGCGGAAGGGTTCCTCATTTCAGCGCGTTACGATATAAAATCTACCCAGAGGAGACCGGGCGAAGGCGTGTAGTGTTAAGAACTAATTAAAAAGAAAAAAAATAATAATAACTGGAAAGAAAGCACATTCAGGTTATGATAACAACTTATTTTAAACTTTCGACGGTTTGTTTATACTAAGATTCAAGAAAAACTAATTGATTAAATGCTCTTAATAAAGCAAATTCAAAGCACAATCACTGGCTTCTTCAAGGTTTTACTAAAGATATAAAACAATGCCCCGTTCACACATCTCCCCGGTGTTTTGAACAGGAGCAAAGGTTTATTTCTTGTTTCCTGTTTAGGATTGGGCTCGAAAGTCTTTTATCACTCCCAATTTCGTCTTAGTGGTATTATCACCTTGCTTAGCGTGAATTGATTAAAAAAAAGTAACTCCGAAAATCATCTTTCTATATCTATGTAAAGTACATGTGTCTTTTTGTTCGTCCGTTTTTCGATCTCGGTGAATCACAAACAACCTGAAGTAACAGGTAGTAACTACTGTAGTTCAGTCAGTCATATGCCATGTGTGATACACGCTTAGGCGATCATGTATCTTTCGATACATGACTGACGAAGCAGATTTTTTTTCCCACAGTAGGTTGTCATTTCTTTCTGCGGTAGACCAGTTGCCATTCAGGGTATAGAACTTGGTCTGTACTGCTATTTACCCATAGCTGAGGGGGGGGGGAGAAGAAGGGGACTCATACCGTTCCCAAAAGCACTTAGGTGAATGTAATGGATTCGACTGGAATTCCGTGCCTCCTTGTCAGCTATGTACCATTACTGTGTAATTTTGGTAAAATGAGGCATTTTTGCCTAATTTAGACGACAATTTATTCCTCGCACCATGTACATCACAGAGCAACGTTCGCTTATTGAGTTATGTGCCATGCTTGATACACGCTTAGGCGATACATGACTGACGAGGCAGTTTTTTTTTCCCCCCGCATTAAGTTGCCATTTCTTTCTGCGGTAAACCAGTTGCCATCCAACCCAGTCTGTCCTGCTATTTACACATACCTGGAGTGGGGGAGAGAAGAAGAGGTCTCCCAAGGGTATTAGCACGTAAGTGAATGTCATGGATTCGACTAGAATTCCTCAATCCGAGCCACTATCCATTACTCCACCGTGCAGTTACAATTAAATAAATAACTGTTATGGTCCGGTTCCTTGTACCACGGCGATAGTCCAAGGTAGAACAAATAAAGAAGAACTCGAAGGCGGATATGGAATAACACAGATATATTACAAACAGGAATATATACAGAGAAGTAGAAGTGTTAGTACGAACAATCAGGTTTAGTAGAGAGAACAATGTAGTCTCGACCAGCATCACTATTCCAATGTCTTGTAGTAATTGTCTGAACGCGACTCTGTTTACGGACTGCCTCTTACTCGACTGACTGACTCGACTTAAACTACTGACGATATTCAGTCACCCTCCCCACACACACACACTGTAGCACAAGACCGGTTATTTAATGTGGGATCTCCGAGCACGTGGGCTCGGCCCAAAAATATGCCCATTGAACCCGTACAAACGGGTTCAGGGCCGGTTTACCTTCCCGGAAGAGAATCCGCCCTTCGGCGTAGCCTCGTTCGGGTTCCTCCCCGCCCGAAGGCAGAGAGTCTTACCGAACAGCCGGCAAGGAATTGAACGACTGACGATATTCAGTCCCCTCCACTGGGGCATCATGGGGCCCAAGGCCGGTTATTTAATGTGGGATCTCCGAGCCCGTGGGATCTCCGAGCCCGTGGGATCTCCGAGCCCGTGGGCTCGGCTAAAAATATGCCCTTTCAACCCATATAAACGGGTTCAGGGTCGGTTTACCTCCCCGAAAGAGACTCTGCCCTTCCTCGTAGCCTCGTTCGGGTTCCTCCCCGCCCGAAGGGAGAGAGTTCAACCGATCAGCCGGTGACCGAGGTCGACTTGAACTACTGACTATATTTAGTCACCCCACCCCGTGGCAGAGAGTCCAAACGAACAGCCGGTCAAGAGGTCAACGACTGACGATATTCAGTCACACCCCCACTGGGGAATCATGTGGCACAAGGCCGGTTATTTAATGTGGGAACTTAAGCGGGGCACGGTACTTTGCTCATATGTTTTTTTCTCTTTTTCTAGTACGCTTACTGTGACGTATTCGAAATATTACATAGTTTGGGTCCCCTTATGTCTTTTAAGTATGGCTTCATGTGAAGGGATCATAAAGAATGGTGATTTTAACAGAAAAGAAAAATTGCCTACAAAATAAATGTAAACACACCACGGAGATCGTTTGCGTATACGAAGAAAGATTATGCCGAATTAAGGTGTCGAATAAAGATAAGATAATTTGATTATTTCTAAAAAATTTACGTACATAGGACGCTGAAGGAAAAAGCCTAAAAGTCCAAAGGCCCACTACAGGAACTAACCTAAAACCCGCCAGAAGACGCCTTCTAGGCAAATCATCGATATTTGATTAGCCAAGAGTCTTGTGTAGTTTTCGACATTTTCTTATTTTATTCAGAGAACATATCTTGATGATACGAAAAACAAAAGGAAGAACAATGCTGATTTTTTTTTTTTTTTGGGGGATTTTTTTTTAAATCAATTCACCCTAAGCAAGGCAATAATGCCACTAAGACGCAAGGGTACTGAACAGATAAAATAACTTTATGAAGGAAACATTAACTGGTAATTAAAATCACAGACATAGATAGATAGATAGATAGATAGATAGATAGATAGATAGATAGATAGACAGACAGAGAGATAGATAGAGAAGACAATGAGATAGAGAAAGAGATAACAGAATAAGATAGATAGATAGATAGATAGATAGATAGATAGATAGAAAGATAAATAGATAGACAGACAGACAGATAGATAGAGAAGACAATGAGATAGAGAAAGAGATAACAGAAATAAGATAGATAGATAGATAATAGATAGATAGATAGATAGATGATGAATAGATAAATAGATAGACAGACAGACAGATAGATAGAGAAGACAATGAGATAGAGAAAGAGATAACAGAATAAGATAGATAGATAGATAGATAGATAGATAGATAGATAGATAAATAGATAGACAGACAGACAGATAGATAGAGAAGACAATGAGATAGAGAAAGAGATAACAGAATAAGATAGATAGATAGATAGATAGATAGATAGATAAATAGATAGACAGACAGACAGATAGATAGAGAAGACAATGAGATAGAGAAAGAGATAACAGAATAAGATAGATAGATAGATAGATAGATAGATAGATAGATAGATAGATAGATAAATAGATAGACAGACAGACAGATAGATAGAGAAGACAATGAGATAGAGAAAGAGATAACAGAATAATATAGATAGATAGATAGATAGATAGATAGATAGATAGATAGATAAATAGATAGACAGACAGACAGATAGATAGAGAAGACAATGAGATAGAGAAAGAGATAACAGAATAAGATAGATAGATGAATAGAGATAGATAAATAGATGAACAGACAGACAGATAGATAGAGAAGACAATGAGATAGAGAAAGAGATAACAGAATAAGATAGATAGATAGATAGATAGATAGATAGATAGACAGACAGACAGATAGATAGAGAAGACAATGAGATAGAGAAAGAGATAACAGAATAAGATAGATAGATAAATAGATAGATAGATAGACAGACAGACAGATAGATAGAGAAGACAATGAGATAGAGAAAGAGATAACAGAATAAGATAGATAGATAGATAGATAGATAGATAGATAGATAGACTGACAGACAGACAGAGAGATAGATAGAGAAGACAATGAGATAGAGAAAGAGATAACAGAATAAGATAGATAGATAGATAGATAGATAGATAGATAGATAGATTGACAGACAGACAGATATATAGAGAAGACAATGAGATAGAGAGAGAGAGAGAGAGAGAGAGAGGGAGAGAAGAGAGAATGAGATATATAGACAGACAGACAGACAGTATTAGAGAGTATGAAGAAAAAAAAAAAGAAAAATACCATTAAGGAGAGAGGTGTTACTCCAAAACTTATATGGCAGTCTTTATTTGCATCCCTCTCACAGTCCCTCTTGCCTTCAATCCGTCCTGCGAGTATCAAATTTTACGGGCCCTATTTCCTCGTATGTGTCCGCTAGAAATTTCAACTGTCTCTTTCTGATGTTAGAAACGGTTGAAATTTCTAGGGAACAATGAGGAAAGAAGGCTTGGAAAATTTCACCCTCATTACTCACAGGTAATTAATCTAGCGAGACAATATTGCTAATCATTAGGCTACGTCGAAGTGCCTGTATTGAATTAAATAGGTCTTTTAAAAAGTCGTCTGATGCATTCAGTTTTTAAATATTTGATAAAGTGTTAACTTTTTTTTTTTTTTTATTAAACTAGTCAGGATTAATAAGATTTGGATAAAAAAAAAATACATCCAGAGATTAGAAAGTCTCTAAATTTGTTAAAACTAATGCTTCAAAAACAAAAATAACTCTTTATTCCTGATTTTTAGATAGTTTTTGCAGTGTATCTCTTTAAGAAAAAAAAACCCTTTATAGAATAATATGGAAGAAATCTTTGTACGCAAAATATTTAGATTTCAGCATTAAATAAACTATAGATGTTGATATGCCACTAAACAAAATCAACCAACCATTTTAAAACATTATAACAACTTTCTTCTGTGAAACAAAGATTTCTAACATAGATTTGGAAGTTTTTTGGTTTTGTTTTTTTTTTTTAATTGGAAATCGGAGAGCCGAGTTCCAATTCCAGTCGGGTTCGTTGCACTCACTTTTGTGCAAATACCCTTCGGAAAGATATGCATAAATATCTCCCCTCAGCTATGGATTAATTAGTACGATTTGTATCATTATTATTATCTCAGAAAAAATATTACAATCTAAAATTATATTCTGGCTTTAAATAACCGGCAAAAGGTTGATAAGCCGTAAAAACAAAAAAAAATCAAAGAATATCCAAATTCAGCCTTAAGAGAAGCAATGGCCAAAAGACGAAGCAATATTATGCGTCCTGACCTGGCATCTCGGCGTCAGTCACTTTCTCAATGTAGTTTAACTGTAACTTTTTCTATAAATACTTTCATGGTAATTGTTCAGATGAATTTTTCGCTATGGTACCCAGACTTTATGAATTTAAACACAGTACTAGATTGGCGGTAAGGTCTCACCAATTTACAGTTGTGTTGGATAGACGAAAACGTAAGTTTCTTTTCTCGCACTTCTCTCTTGTGGAACTCTCTTCCGGCTCCATGCTTTCCAACCAAATTTGATCTTCAAAAATAAAACAAATATAGAGGTCAATGATTTAAATGGCGGGAATACATCTTCGCAAATAATATCAAAAAGATACACAAACCCCGAACTTGTATATGAATGATATGGTCCCTGTTTATAAATTCCAGTTGCATAAGGTCTTTTTAATTTTTTACAAGCTTTCGTCTGTTCCTACAGACATCGTCAGGTATGGAAATAGATTTGTTATTGTTTTTTACTTCTCGGTAATAAGAGGACAACGAAAATAGAGATGTAATCCGAAAAAATGCTATGAGAAATGTGTTATTGTTTTGGAACGTGCGGTCGCAACGCTGAGTTTGAATTTTAAATTTTAAGGTTGTGCGTTTTTGTACAAATATAGGAATAAGAGAATTCCTTTTTACTGGTAGATTTTCCGTGAATATGGCATGAACTATATTGTTCAATAATTACAGGAATGTCACACTTATTATCCGAATGTTGCACGTTGGATCAGTTATTTTAATTTCAATATAGGTGCAATTATGATTTATAAATTCATGAATCATTCATACAATAAAACAAATAGAGAGGTTAATGATTTAAATGGCGAGAATACATCTTCGCAAACAATATCAAAAAGATACACCAACCCCGAACCTGTATATGAATGATATGATCCCTGTTTATAAATTCCAGTTGCATAAGGTCTTTTAATTTTTACAAGCTTTCATCTGTTCCTACAGACATCCTCAGGTATGGAAATAGATTTTGTTCTTGTTTTTACTTCTCGGTAATAAGAGGACAACGAAAATAGAGATGTAATCCGAAAAATTTGCTATGAAAAATGTGTTATTGTTTTGGAACGTGCGGTCGCAACGCTGAGTTTGAATTTTAAATTTTAAGGTTGTGTTTTTGTACAAATATAGGAATAAGAGAATTCTTTTTTACTGGTAGATTTTCCGTCAATGTGGCATGAACTATATTGTTCAATAATTACAGTAATGTCACACTTATTATCCGGGAGTTGCACGTTGGATCAGTTATTTTAATTTCAATATTTGTTTTATTGTATGAATGATTCATGAAATTATAAATTAAAATTGCACCTATATTGAATATATATATATATATATATATATATATATATATATATATATATATAAATAAAGAAATATAGTCTTAAGATGTGCTTTATTTATGGATAAAGTACTCAATATCAAAGATAGAGCGTGTGTAAATATAAATTACATGTACGTATATATATATATATATATATATATATATATATATATATATATATATATATATATATATATATATATATAGTACAAACAATCTTGCCACTCACTGCCTACCTGCAATTTGATCTCTTAAGGTGTGACTTTTTATTCATAGATAGTTGCTATCTTGCACGAATGTTGGTTCGTCTATTTGTACTCGCTAGTAATGTTACTACGATTCTTATGCGGCTTATTGTCTGATGACACTTTGTAACTATCTACCTCGAGTGGCGCTTGGGCCTTTTTCAAGGGGAAAATTATTTCTTCAAAAAATTGTATAATGTGATAAATGGACAGACCAGGTCTATTGAGCCTTTTCTCCAAACAGCGCTGAGTTGTATATATTTTTTTTTTTTTCACAATTGCCGTCCCACATAGACGCCACGTTTCCCAGCAAGATAGGAAAAGTAGACGTGAATCATACCCAACGTTCACATGGCCGGGTCAACAGATGAGTGTCAAGCCCAGACGACTTAAGCAAACCGCATCTCTTTGTTATATTTTTTGTGTACACCTCGAGGTGCTTAAATCTCAAGAGTAGATTTTTTTTGATTTTTTTTTTTAAGCGCATCAATCAGGGTCGGTCAGCCAGTGCTTTGGAAAGGATATATGTGCCTTGCTTCGGTTTGGTCAATACATAAAATAACAATGAATCTGATTATCTCACCGAAAAATGCCCCCCACTTTTAGCAAACTTAGTTGCACATATGTCTCGAAGTGAAAGTTTGGACGGGTTTTTTTTTATAAACTTATGGAAGGAGGTACCTTTGAAAAGCATAACGGCAAGAGAAGATCAGATGGAGATTTAATATTAGAGAGAATACGTGTGACAGAGAGACAAAGCATATATACATATATTAATGTACATATATATAATAATATATACAAATATATAAAAATCCATAAATATACCTACATATACAGTGTAACCCGGATATAAGAGAAACCCGGATATAAGAGAGATTTTATGTGGTCCCAAATTACAGCCCGTGTTAATGCATATAAAATAGACCAAAAAACCCGGATATAAGAGAAACCCGGATATAAGATACTTCTTCTCCGGTCCTGACAACTCTCCGGGTTTACTATACATATATATATATATATATATATATATATATATATATATATATATATATATATATATATATATATATATATATATATATATATATATACGTATATATAGATATATCCATATATGCATATATATATATATATATATATATACATATATATACATACATCTATATATATGTACATACATATATATGTACATATATATATATATATATATATATCGATAGATAGACAGACATACATCAGACATAGAGATAGATAGATAGATGAATAGATAGATAGATAGATAGATAGAGTTATGAATATACTCAGATAGATAGATAGATAGATTATGAATATACTCAGATAGATAGATAGATAGATAGATAGATAGATAGATAGATAGATAGATAGATAGATAGAGTTAAGGAATATACTCAGATAGATAGATAGATAGATAGATAGATAGATAGATAGATAGATAGATAGATGGAGTTATGAATATACTCAGATAGATAGATAGATAGATAGATAGATAGATAGATAGATAGATAGATAGATAGATAGAGTTATGAATATACTCAGATAGATAGATAGATAGATAGATAGATAGATAGATAGATAGATAGAGTTATGAATATACTCAGATAGATAGATAGATAGATAGATAGATAGATAGATAGATAGATAGATAGATAGATATGAACATTTTGAGATCGACATCTATGTGTATATTCGAAGATTGTCTATTCCCCTTGCTTATTCGTTCTATTCGCAATCACCTGTTCATTATACTCGTAATAGCCTTCCTGATATTTCATACTTTTTACATGAAACTTTTATGCAAGAACCTGTTTATTCAGAATGTCATTCCGAGCACGCCTTTAAAATAAAATCACACACTAAACGTTTTGTTTTTTTTTTCCCCCTCAAACACATCTACACACACAACGTCTCCCATATGTAAGCCACATTCCCAACAAGTACTACATATTACAATGGTCACATTAGTATCCACCCACCAAGTTGTCAACATCTACCTTACCTCTCTACCAAGCAAGCCTCTTTCCACGACATTTGTACGACAGAGTTTTTACTTGAGTTCTTAGAGTTTAAAAGTGAAAAAAAAATACAAAACTTTTTTTTTGTTTGCTTCGGCGAACTCCTGTTGGCCGACATCGTTTTATCACATTGTGATTGAGGTCGCTATTGGATTTGTTTTTACCTGTTTGAAGAGGGGACAAAAGTCAAATTGAAACACAAAAATCATGTAAGGATTTCTATATATATTTTATATTCCTATATTTTCTGTTATATATATAAATATATATATATATATATATATATATATATATATATATATGTGTGTGTGTGTGTGTGTGTGTGTGTGTGTGTGTGTGTGTGTGTGTGGATCTGTC